GGTAATAGAAAAACACAGCATTAGAAACAACACAATTTCACTGAAAAAAGTAATAGGAATTCAGCAGTGGTTGCTGTATTGCGTGATATTGCGTGATGTTACCTTCAAATTAGTAGGTTACCAAATATAAGCATGCAGGATTGGTTTAAAGAAAAAAGCCAAACAATAACAAAAAAATTAAAAGAAATAAAGAGAAGAAAATTTTAAGCATTAACTGTTCCTTTCAAGAGACTAGCAGAAGGGCCGGGGAAATAGCTCAGCAGTTAAGCGCCTGCCTGGCAAGTTTGGGTACAAGCAAAACCGGGTGTGGTGGCACACACCTGTAATCCCAGCATTAGGGAAGCTGAAAGAGGAAGATCACTAGGAGTCCAACCTCTGTAGCAAGACTCTGTTCCAAACACATAAAAATTAAAAAAAAAAAAAAAAAAGACTAGCATAAATCGACAGTACAGTCAGTTATCCAAACTACCTTGCATATATACATAAATAGATCTTTTTCACTTCTTTTATCCTGGTGTTTGCTTCCCATTGAACAAATTCTTTACCTTTCACATATCTTTACCTATATATCTTTCTAATTTTATTTGCTCTTTCTGGTTTTCACACTAGTAAGATAATACAATGTTTGCACGTGTGGATCTGATTGATTTCACTTACCAGTAGTCTCTAGTTGCATCCACTTATCTACAAAAGCCTCACATTTATCCTTTTTTTTTTTTTTTTTTAATGTATTTAGTGCAGGGTCTAAGGGTCTCACTGCACAAATGGGACGTAGTGATCCTCGTGTTTTCAGCTTCCCAAGTGCTCGAATTATAGATGCACACCACCACGCCCAGTCTCAATCACCCTCTCAGGGTGCCCCGGGGGCTGGGCTGGCACAGCACACCAGGAATCAAACCCCCATCCCTTTGTCTGCCTAAGCAGGTGCTTTAATCCACTGAGCCATCTAGCCAGCCCTGAATTTTATCTTTTTTTTGTAGCTGAATAATCCTCAATTGTGTCAAATCACATTTTGAGATACATACCTGTTGTGAAATGATTAATGCCATCAAGCTAATTAACATAATCACCTCATACTTAAAGCAATATTAATTTATTCCACATAGAAACTTTTGGGGGCCAGGGAGATAGCTCAGTAGAATAAGCACCTGCCTGGGAAGCTCAGGGTCCTGAGTTCAATCCCTGATACCGCAAAAAAGAAAGAAAGAAACTTTTTATAACAACACAAATCAAAAAGAAACCCTCAGGCCGGACAGATGGCTCAGTAGAATAAGCGCTTCTCTGGCAAGCCCAAGGGTCTGAGCTCAATCCCCGGTTCTGCCCTCTTGGGCTAGGGAGACAGGTGGGCACCCTAAGCATGTAACTTGCAAGTGCAGGGTCCCAAGTTCAGTCCCTAGTACTGCATGCTGCGCTGGCCTGGACCCCAAATGTGCCAGCACATACCTGTAATCCTAGAGCTGGGGAGGCTGGGACAGGAGGATCACTGCAAGTCCAAACTGTAGAGAGACCCTATACCAATAAAAAGGGGGGGAAAAAAGTCCTTAAACAGTAATAATATATACTCATCACCTCACTCCCAGGGACAGATTAATACAGTTAAGTGAACACCTTTCTAGGTAATTTCATGATATTGCTATACATTCATGCATTTTTAATTTTTTTTTATTTTTATGAATTTAGGGGACCGGGGAGATGCCTCAGTAGAATAAGTGCTTCCCTGGCTAGTGCAAGGGCCTGGGTCCTATCCTTTGTTCGCCAAAAAAAAAAAAAAAAAAATTAGGACACGGTATACAGGGTCTCACTATGTAGGTCAGACTTGTAGTGATTGTCCTTTTTGCAGCCTCCCAAGTGCCCCAGGGGTGGGGCTAGGATTGAACTCTGGCCGCTGTGCTCAGCCAAAACAGGTGCTTTCATTCACTGAGCTATCTGGCCAGCCCTTCATGCTTTTTTTTTTTAAACCTGGGCTTGAGGGCCAGGGAGATGGCTCAATAGAATAAGCGCTTCCCTGGTAAGCGCAAAGGCCTGAGTTCAATCCCCGGTTCTGAAAAAATAAAATTAAAAAAAACCTGGGCTTGAACTCAGGCCCTTGCACTTGCCAGGGAAGCACTCATTCTGCTGAGCCATCTCCCCGGCCCCTGCTTCATGCATTATTTAAAAATACAAGTTGGTAGTGCTATGTGTACTGTTTTTTAGTCTTCTGCTTCACTTAACAAATTTCACCTCAGTAAAATCCATGTCAACATCATAATCTCATAAAGGCATAACTGATAACTTTTTAAATCATCTGTCACTCTTTAAATCCCCTATCACTCTTCCTTATATATACTCTTTTTGTTTGTTTGTTTAAGACGGCCTCACTCTGTAGCCCAGGTTGGCCTTGAACTCATGGCAGTTCTCCTACCTCAATCTCAGTGCTGGGATTACAGACATGTGCTACCACCCCTAGCACTTTTAAACTCTTTTATGCCTACCTTAATGTATTTCCTTCCCTTTGGTCTCCTTTATGTTTTATGTCATCTTTTTCAGATTTTACATATTAAGCCTGCAAATGATGATTTTATTATTATTTGTATATACCACAGTGACATTCAGATTAAGAATTGGGGGCTGGCTAGATAGCAGACTAAAGCCCCTGCTTCAGCAGAGCATAGCTGCTGGAGTTTATCCCCGGCATGCTGTGCCAGCCCCACCCACAAAGCTTGTAATTGAGATTGGGCATGATGATGCGCGCCTGTAATCCCAGTGGTTGGGAGGCTGAAAACAGGAGGATCACTAGGAGTCCGATCTTTGTAGTGAGACCCTGTGCTAAACACAAAAAAATAACAATAATTGGGTATGTCTATTTTATCTTATTTTTGCTGCTAATTAACTATATGGCTGGTTTGAATGATCCCCTTAGTAGAAAACAACCTGGTCTTTTAGGGTTGCTATGAAAAAGCAAAAATGAAGGTAAACTATTTGGTGTTTATACTGCCTCTGCCCCATCTGTCTCCTCCTACACAAAGATAATTGGTTACTTTGTAAGCTGGCATGTTACATATTTTTCTTTTTACATGTAGAAAATAAATTTTCCCATCAAAATACAGACTGGTTTAGCAAGTGTGGTGGTGCATGCCTGTTAGCATGGGGGCTAAGGCAAAGATCACAAGTTTGAGGCCAGTCTAGGCAATTAAAAAATAGAAAGATCTGAGGATGTAGCTGCGAATCAAGTGCTTAGCATTTGTAAAGTCATGGGTTCAGTCCCCAGTAAGCAGAAAAAGATGGATGGATGGGCAGGTAGGTATGTTATTTTGATAGCAAATAAATGTTTCAATTTAAATTTTGACTTTATTATTTGAACATGGCCTACCTTTGCCCATTAAACAAACTGAATCCTTCTGAGAGGAAAAGATTATATTAGTGAGTACTTTATCAAAAGTAATAATTTTGATTTCAAAAAAGAATCTCATTATGTCATTACGGGTACAGATTACCTATAATGAATGTGATCATTATGTGTACCTAAAATATACCGATAAATTTAATTGTTGCATTGTGCTTTTCGCCACCCCCGGAAACTCTCCAGTTTGGGGATAAAACCCAGGCCTTGTACATCCTAGACAAGCACTCTGCCACTAAGCCAATTTTTCCAGCTTTGAATTAGGTGATTTTATCTTTGATTCCATGTTATTTTAAATAGCCATTTGAAAGGATTTTTATTATTCCCTCTTTAGGAAAAAGCATTAAAATTGGAATCTTTGTAGATAATTAAACGGTTGCACCCGTGCTAGATCTTCATGGTAACTTTGCTTGTTTCCTCTTCTTCAGATCGTCATGCACGTATTTTGTACCTACCTCGATTCCAGGTTACCTCCACACCCTAAGTATCCTGATGGAAAAACATTTACGTCTCAGCATTTTGTTCAGACCCCAAATAAGCCAGGTACAAACTTCTGAAAGAACATGTTGGGTTTTTCACATGCAATCTCCCCAGTGGTTTCATTTTTTAATGTAAAATATCTTTACAGATGTTACAAATGAGAATGTTTTCTGCGTTTATCAGAGTGCCATCAACCCCCCACACTATGAGCTCATCTACCAGCGACATGTGTACAATCTTCCAAAGGTATCTCTATATATGAATACAGAGAAAGAGAAATTACTATTTGAGAATGTCTTTGATACTGTTTTCGAAATCAGAATCTCGTTTGTAGAAAAGATATTAAGCTTTTTAAATTAGAAATTGTTTCATTACATGCCTTTCTTTTTCCTATAAAAGTAATGTTTTAGTTTGGGAGAATATAAAGAAAAATGCTAGGTACCGTGGTTCATGTCTATAATTCCAGTATGCCAGAAGGCCAAGGCAGGAGGATCACAGGTTTCAGCCCACCTGAGTAATTAAGTGAGATGTTATCTTAAAAGTAAAATAGAAAAAATAAAGGACTAAGGATGTAGCACAGTGCAGAAGCCCTGACTTCAGCCCCCAGTGCAGCCAAAAACCAAATAAACTATAAAGAGAAATCACTTACTCAGAGGTAGCCTTAGGTAACATTTAGATGTATTTCATCCCTTTTTGAAAATTTTATTTTCATCTTTTTGGTTTTTTTATGGGCTGAAGTATATATATATAATTTATCTGATCTTACACACTGCATCCTCTGCCTCAGCAGTCCAGAGAAAATACCTTCCTTTGCTCCCATAGCTTTCTACTCCTGTCCAAGAGTCTCTTGGACCACATACTTTCTGCCTCTTTTGCTCTGTTAAATTCCTTGATTACCTGGATCCTTCCGTTCTCATTTGCTCCAGTGTTCTCACTTTCTCACCCAAAGGAAAGGTACTTTGTTTAATAAGTGAGTGAGTGAAAATCTGAATTGTGTAGAAATCTGAGGTGTGGTGGAATGGGAGTTGTTTAGAACTAAATTTGCCTACCTGGTTGAATCTTTGGTTTAGTTTAAGTCTTGTCTTTTTTGTCTTGGTTCCAGGGCAGAAATAATATGTTTCATACATTGTTAATGTTTCTGTACATCATAAAGACGAAAGAGTCAGGAATGCTTGGGTGAGTATGCTTTAAAAATGTGTATGTAAAAGTATTTTTTTTTTGTTACTGTTATTTTTAAAAATGTGTGTACTAACAAGCCTAGTGACACACACCTGTTGCAGCACTCACCAGGCTGAGGCAGGAGGATACCTCAAGTTCAAGCCTCTCGGGCTGTATAATGAATTCAAGATTATAACAAGACTTTGTCTCAATAAATACTTAATTTATTTACCATTGTTCTTCATACATTAAGATTCTGTAGAAAAGTGGATGTAGCTCTGAGTTCTACCAAACAGGAGGTTCCTTAAGAGTGCAAGACCACATAGTTCATAGTGAGTTCAAGCCTGAACTGCAGAGGGAGAGCCTGTCTCAAAAAACAGGTTCTTGCCACTTGAAAATTAAAATATAAAACAAAACTTTGATTCTGTTTTTGCCTGAGCTATTCCATTTCAAAATATTCTGAAAATTTTTTGTACTTTTGGAGAGGATAACCATCCCAAAATACTGCTAAGGTGAAAAATTTGTTGAATTCACTTACATAGTTAGTGACAGGACTCACATAGCAAGTTCAAACTTTCAGTAGTGCAGTTTTGATGATCTAGAATTATAGAGCATCAAATAATATATGAAATAGGTAGGTCTTAGCTAAGCCAGGGAAACCTGGTATGGCGTGATCCATGAGCCTGGAAACTTTTGCTCGGGGTCCAGTTCTGCCATATGAAACACTTAAGGCTGACAGAATGTTTATAGAGATGAGCCACCACCCTTGGCCTCTTGTTCATAATTTAGAGGTTATATGTTTCCAGAATTGTGTTGTCCACTGCAGCAGTCATTCAGCACTTGGAACACAGCTAGTCTGAATTGAGAAACCCTGCAATGTAAAATATATACCAGATTTTACAGGAACAATTATATTAAAAAATGTAAGGTATTTTCTTAGTAGTTTTGTATTTTAGACACCTAAATACTATTTGGTTATATCAGGTTAAATATAGTCTTTTTTTTTTAAATTTTATTTATTTATTTGTGTGTGTGTGTGTGGCCAGCTCAGCCCACCAGGGGGCGCGGCTGGCTGGCGTGTGGTGCTGGGGGATTGAACCGTGGTCCCTGTGCTTTGCCAAGCTTGTTCCAAGTAGGTGCTTTAGACCACTGAGCCATCTCTCCAGCCCCAATCTTAAAATTAATGTCATCTGTTCTTAAATGTCTTTTAGAAAATTCAATTATCATGCATGTGATTTGCATTTGAGACCTGCATCATATTATGTTCCTATTGGACAGCACTATTTTAGAAAAAGAGAAGCTCTCCTTAAATATATTAGATACAAAAGACGTAAAATAAGTCAAGTATAGTGGCACATACCTGTAGTCCTACCACTTGGAAGGCTGAAGCAGGAGGATTGCCAAAAAAGTAGTTAGTTCAAGACCAGCTTGGACAATATAGGAAGACCCTCTTCCCTCCTCACAAAAAAAGCATAAAACAGACATGAATATTTACTAGCCACTTTTCTCATACATATTTTTTTTTTCTATTTTTCTTATAACAAGATTAAATAGGAAAGTCACTTTCATGTGCTGCTGAGCTGTATCCCTGGCTTGAAGGACATTTTTGGGTTGTTTTGAAGGACATTTTTTTTTGAAGGAGTTTTTTTTTGAAGGACATTTTTGATAATAGCTTTATTGTTAATTTTTATCAAAACTGATAATGTCATAACTTTCCCTATGGCCCAAAACCTACTTCCCTTCCCAAAATCAACTGCCTGAAACATTTCTAGCTGTTTCTTGTTTTGCTCCTCATAGTTCAGATGATCAAGGTGTGCAGACTCTGGACTCCAGGCTTAGACTTAGACATGTATGGATTTCTTGTTTTGTGAGATGAGGGGTTGACCCCTTGCAGCCCTCTTTCTCGCACAGTTCCACTGCTCTCTGGCCCAGTAGATCGGCCTCATTGTTACATGCAGCATGTCTGGTTTAAAATCTCTTAATGCACGTTCTGCAGGCTCACTAATGCATACCTAGTGGTGAATTCCTGACTACATCCAGCAGGTCAATTCTCTAAGAGGCCTTGCAACTCTTTATCTTCCATTTTGATTATTTTTCTTGGGGGGCATCCAGGTGGTCTTGCTGTGAAGTTCAGGCTGATCTTTTATTTATTTATTTATTTTTTTCTTTTAAATGTATTTAGTACAGGGGCCGGGGAGATGGCTCAGTGGAATAAGTGATTCCCTGGCAAGTGCAAGGGCCTGAGTTCAATCCCTGGTTATGCAAAAAAAAAAAAAAAAAAAGTATTTAGTACAGGGTCTACAGGGTATCACTACACAGATCAGACTCATAGTGATCCTCCTGTTTTCAGCCTCCCAAGCTCTGGTAGTATAGGTGCATGCCACCATGCCCAGTCTCAATTGCAGTCCTAGGGCGCCCTGGGTGCGGGGCTGGCACGGCACGCCGGGGTTGGGGATTGAACCCCAGCAGCTGCGCTTGCTCTGCCAAAGCAGGCACTTTTAGTCTGCTGAGCTATTTGGCCGGCCCCTCAGGCTGATCTTGAGCTCACTATGTACTTCAATTTGCTAAGTGTTTGGATTACAGGCATGCCCCTCCCCCACTGCCTTTTTAAAAAATAAATACCGGGGATTGAGCTTGCCGGGCAGGCGCTAAGCCGCTGAGCTACATCCCTGGCCCCTATGATAGTCCAGTCTTACTAAAATTATTCCATTAGTTTTATTTTCTTATATGATAGTTCTTAAAGTTATGTTCAGCGTTCCATGAATCTGTTTATTCTAAATCTGAACTTTAAGCTAGTAATTACTATTACTACAATTTGCCTAATAAACCATGTATAACATAATTTATTGCATAATAGCATTAAATGTCATCAATTAAACATATTTCCTTGTAAAGAGTCTTGTTTTTGTTATTAGGAAAAGACGTTACACGGTTGGTAGAAGAGTTTTACTGTAACTATTTTTTCTCTTTACAGGAGAGTTAATCTTGGTCTGTCTGGTGTGAATATTCTGTGGATTTTTGGCGAGTAGTAGATCATTTAATTCCCAACATTTGGACCTTTATTGAAGTAGAAGTTGAATCTAAGCATCTCTTACCCACTGCCTCTTCTGAAATAAGCTACATATGTGAGTGTGAGATTTAACAAAAAATTAGCTAGTATACCATTTTCTTAGGAAAATATGTCCTATATGTTCCACTCCACAAAATAATTATGTTTTAGAAATTTCAGTTGATACAAAATTACAATTTTGTGGACTTTTTAAAAAAATGCAGATACTGCAGTTCCCCTTAGTTAGATTAGATAAGTGGAGCAGCTTTTTCATGGTAACCCCCGAATAAGCGTTATCCATGTGCCTCTTCTACTCAGAAATGGTTTTTAGTTGTATTATTTAGTAGTACTTTTTTTGTATTTTAGGGAAGGGTTTACAGGGTGTTCAGGGACTTAATACTAGATTGGACTCATGGTGATCCACCTGTTTACAGCCTCCCAAGAGGTAGGATTACAGGCATGCCCCACCACACCCAGTCTAGTAGTGAGTACTTAAAATGAAAGAAAATGTGCTGATTTTATCTCTGATCCCCAAGTTTACGGCAAATCAGTCTAGTGCCTGTATTGAAAGAAATCAATTTCTAAGTCATGTATTAATTAATCTAGGTCTGTGTTTTAGATTATCAAAAGAGGCTTGACAGCATTGGCATTTTAAAAAGTCAGATGCTCAGATGAAGTTGAGTTGGCAGTTAGCCAGATTTTAGTTGAGACTGTGGGTGGAATACTGCTCCTGTTTTGGTTTTAGCAACTCTGTTGCACTTTTCTGTTATATTTATTATTTTTAGGGTTCTCTTTATGATCTTAGAGATGTCCTTCCCATTTAAAGGTTTTAGAAAACAGTATTTTCATAATACCCAGAGAGTGAAAAGATACCAAGTTATGAGAAGTAGCAGCTGGTAGCTACCTTGTGTGTGTTTTCTAGATAAAGTTTTATAGGGATTACTTCATTACATTCACCTGAACCTGGAAATGGCTACACCCACTGTCTTCTGCAGTACTGTATATGCATCCCTTTTGTAAGGTTTGTAAATTTTTCAGGAAGTTTTAAAAAAGTTTTTGTATTTTAAAAGTTGATGTTCAAAGGAAAAGAGCTTTTGTTTTTGCTGTGTTAAATCTGTTTGGTATGGAATTTTAAAAGAACGTATCACTGAAATACGCTAAATATGGGTCATATTGCTGTGCTGTTAAACTCTACAGTTGCATATGCTTCTTTTAAGCATTAAAAAGAAATTTTAATAACTATATAAAGGCAAAAGTATTAAGCAGGTCGTGGTAGTGCATGCCTATGATCTCAGTACTCAGGAAAGCTGAGGCAAGAGGATCTCTGAGTTTGAAGGTAGCTGACCTGCATGGTAATACCCGTCTCAAAAAGATTAAAAGATATGTTTTTTTTTTTTTTTTTAAAGCAGAAGTCTTTTTCTTTATTGGGCTTAAGGTAGCTTTTAGTCCACATACCTAGATGTTTTTCTTACAGTACTGGGGTTCCAGTCCAAAGTTTGCACATGTTAAACAAACAATATACCACCGAGCCACTCCCCATACCTTGTATTATTTTGTTTCCTAAATGATTGTCAAAGAAATAAGAATACATAGTAAAAGTAAAAGATGTTTTGTGTGTTAAATGAATACGGTTTGCTGTATACCAGGTAGCTTTCCTATATCAACTTCAAAAATACTTGAGCTCTCCTGTACCTAAATGTACCTCCTCCCAGCTCTCCATGCCGTCTTGGGGGTTGGACCCAGGGCCTTTACACTGAGCTCCACCTTCACCTCGTGTGTATGTGTGTTTGTGTGTGAGAGAGGAGGCAGGTTCTTGCTGTGTGGTTGTCCGGCTGGGCTCGAATTGCCATCCTTTTGCCTCTACCTCTTAGACTGCTGGGATTATAGGCATGTGCTACCATGCCCAATTTATAGCCTTTATGTAATTTAAAGAGAAAAAACCTTTGGTGAATTAGTTTGAATTCATCTTTGAGAAAGATAGTGCACTCCAGATACAGCAGTTATTTTTTTTTTTTTTTTCCTTCTGTTAGGTATTGAACCTGTGGTTTTATGCATGGTGAATACTTTATCACTGACCAGTACCCTTAGGCCAAATGCAGGAAAGTTTTTGCATTTTTTATTAGAATAAATCAATAACTAACATCACAGGCCAAATGTCTTTTCTACGATATGTCACAAATTTTCATTGTTTGACTCCTTGGATCCACTAAGCTGGAGTGTGTTTTCTGTATCATTTTATCATTTTCTTCCTGTCAATATCATCCTTAAACAAAATTGGTTTTAATGCATACTTAAAAGTATTTATAACTTAGTTCCTGCTGGCACATACAAGTGCTATGATACCTGGATTTCTGACCTAAGACACAGTATTTTAATGCAAGGATGTATAGCTGTGTGACCATCTTCATAAGGTGAGCCCTGCACCCTCGACGGATGTCCCTCCAAGGGCCACTGTGGTGGCTCTTTGCCTGTGTGCACTTTCTCTTCGCAGTCGCACTCACCTGTGTCCTCCTTTGCCCTGTGCTGTGTTCAGAGCCAGCACCATGTTGTCCTGAGTCCTGTGTTCCTTTCCAGGCCAGTGATTGTCTGCTTCTAGAAATGAGGCCCTGCTTCTCAGTCCCTTCTGCTGGTCAGTGTCCTACCAGTTGCCCTGCTCAGAGTTCTGGCATCTTTGATTCCTTGAGCTCCCTGGGTCCCCAGTCCAATCAGACAGCAAACCTCAACTGTTCTTTCTAACACCATCTCTCACAGCTGTCCCTTTTCCATTTCTGCCACCACTCTGCTCATTTACACCCTTATCAACTCACACAGGACTCCTGCAACAGCCTAATTAATCTCACAGCCTACTAATTGTTGCCATGCTTCCAGATTTTCCAATTCATCCTGCGCATTCCCTTCAAATTTATCTTCCTGAAACACCTGTTTGATCACTTCATTTCCCCTGATAAATTCCGCAGCCTGACATTTAAAGCCCTCCACAATCTGGCCCCAACCTGGCTTCTGTGCTTCATCCTGGGCACAGGCCAGCACAGGCCTCTGCTGGCTGGCTGGCTGTTGGGTTCTCTGTGCTCTCAGCCATGCAGCCTCAGCTCTCAGGGGGAGATGCTCTCCGGTGCGTGGCTCCTCTGCCCTGAGACTCACTCTGATTAAGCCTGCTGTTTGGACCTGGTCCTGACCATGCCCACTGGTAGGCGTTCACCCGAGGGTGATGAGATCTGTGCACCTTGGCACTCAGCAGCCCTATGGATGGATTTAGTCTTGACAGTGGGCCTAGTCTTGTCTCATGTTCACACAGGAATTGAGTTTCTCACTCATCTTTGCTGTAAGCGCTGCTGTTCAGGAATACAGTACCTGCTACTGACCGAAGTTACCTTTTGGGAAAGCTGCTTTCTTTCAGCACATGGGCTTTGCCTATGACCAGGCTGGGCCTAGAGGAGGAAGCAGTCTAGCCGATCCATGTGCTTCTGGGACCCTACTGTAGTAACCTGAGGGTACGGCCAATAGACATTTCTTTAGGTACCACTGAGATCTCCAGGACCAGCTGCTGCCCCTGGACTGTAGGTTGGGGCAGACATCTTCAAGTAGAACCAAGCACTGGCAGGAGGGCTTCTGGGAGTGACCAGAATGAGACTGCCTCCACTCACCTGGGGGGTGGGTTGCACAGTACAACTGTGCTTCTTTGTGGGTCCCAGTGCCATGACCAAAGTGATTGGGCATGCCAGCAGCTTTCTGCGATTCTGCAGGATGGTTAGGTGTGAGCTCTGAGCTAGCTCTCACTTGATCTCTGCACTGTCATCATAATTCTGTTGCCACATTGACTGAAGTGCACTGACCAGGGGTGGTATAGATGGGAAGGTCATGGATTCCACAGCACATGGTATGTCCAAAAGCATTAATAAGAGGCTCAGTGCACCAGGACAGCACAGCACAGGTCACCACCAAGGAGGGCGGTGACCCTGAAAAGTTTCTCAGGGGCCGGGGAGATAGCTCAGTTGAATAAGCATGTGCCTGGCAAGCCCAAGGGCCTGAGTTCAATCCCTGGTTCCCACCAAAAAAAAAAGAAGTTTCTTAGCAATTCATAGTCCTGCACTGCCAGGCATTGTAGTGTATACCTGTAATCCCAGCACTCTGGGAAGTTGAGGCCAGGGAGTCACAAGGTTGAGTCCAGCCTGGGCAACTTAGTGAGATCCTGTCTTGAAAACTAAAAAGGGCTACGGATGCAGCTCAGCACAAAGGATACAACCTGTCCCAAGCACCCTCCCACCAAAAATAAAATCTCTCCTTGCCCCCAAACCAAAGACAATGTTCAAAAGTCTGGCTAGAAAAGCCACAGGCCCAGATGGGCTCTATCACTAATGGGCCTGTAATTAATCTTTCACATGCAGATTTGATTACAAGATAGAACACTCTTTACACCTCAGATAATTGAGAAGCTAAGAGTGAAAATAATGAATGATAGTGCTTTTAGATGAAGAAAATGGCTTTTAAAAGTCTTATAATAAATCAGAGCTAGATCACAGCCCCTTTGGTATTGGAAAGCAATGCTCATTTTTGGATCGTGCTGAGACTCGGCTCTTCCTGACCCTGACAGATCACACCCTACCCACCAGCCACCCATCCCTCTTGCCTTTGCCCCCTATACCTGGCCAGTCCCCAGTTCTGGACTGTACTGGTCTTGTGTCTCAAAGGCTGAGCTTTCTAGTATGTCAGGGAAACCTGCCTCCTTCCTTTCCCACTTCTATACCGGCAGGAAAAAATCACAATGCTGCATCAGACTGCTTTCATGAACTGAGTCCCATAGGAAGAAAGTCAGAAAGTGGTGATCTGCCCTGCTGGAGGCCATACTTTTTCAGGAGCAGATGGCAGTCATGGTTAGCACATGGCATTCAGCAGGTCATGCAGCTCTGTGATGCTTTTGGCCTAGAAAATGGACATCATCTTACTGAACTCCAACTGCAAAGAAAAACTGCTGTGTCTCCTTAGGGGAGGGAAACCTGCTGCAGGGAGCCTGGGCTGCAGGAGTCCCCTACCTCATGAGAGACCTGCAGGATGAAGTCTGCCCTGAAGCTGGCAGCCCCAGAACCTGTTGGCTTGGTGTGTTACACATACACAGCTTCCTTCTCAAGGTAACTGACCAGCCCTAAAACTAAGCTTCATGTGACACTCTGCCTCCAGTTCACTGTTCTGCATGAGTTCTTCAGACTTTTCTATTTTAGTGTTGTCTTGGATATTCCTTGAGTTAAGGAGTTAACATACTAGTTAGGCTCAACTCAGACCATGTGGCTTGGATCCTACTTGATGACAAATTCATGTTCTATGATGTGGTC